ATACGGGAGAGTAATTTCTCCTAACGGCAACGTGTTCGACAGATGTACGATTTACATCGGGTCCGTCTACTTCTACTATGTTATTATTATTATTAGGAGAGTGTGTTTTCCGCTACTTGATTTATTTCTAGCTCGCGAGATCCTAATTCTGGTGAATTCTCGCCTGAAAAATGGTGGTCACGGGCCGCTCCTTCGATTACTTGTACGGGGATTACAAAGCCGAATCTATTTGCTAGTCGTGCTGGTACGCTTAAAAATCGCGGTCGGTGGAACGTAACGAGTGGCACCCGTTTGACCACGTTAATATTGACCACGGTCTCAATTGACCACGTTTATATTGACAACGGTTCCGATTGAATAACATACACACACACACAAGTGCGGGGGGTGCACGGGGGCCTTCGGCCCCCCCTCCCGCACCCCCTCCCGCACCCTTTCCACCAGTTAGGCACAATGGACCTCGCTTTACAACTTGCAAAGTACATGTCCTAGTAACGACATGTATTGATCCGTGGTCAATCGGGACCCTGGTCAATATTAACGTGATCAATATTAACGTGGTCAATCGGGACCGTGGTCAATATCAACGTGTTGCGTACATAGCGATCTTAGCTCTGTGACCGTGGTCAATCGGGACCGTGGTCAATCGGGACAGTGGTCAAATATTAACGTGGTCAATATCAACGTGGTCAATCGGGACCGTGGTCAATATCAACGTGGTCAATCGGGTCCGTGGTCAATTTGAACCGTGGTCAATCGAAACCGTGGTCAATCGGAACCGTGATAAATATCAACATGGTCAATCGGGACCGTGGTCAATATCAACGTGATCAATCGCAACATGGTCAATCTCAACATGGTCAATCGGGACCTCGGTCAATATCAACGTGGTCAAACGGGACGCTCCCAACGTAACTCTTTTCGGTTGTGCCGACATTTACGCTATTTTATTGTACAATATTTTTGACTTACAGTATAACGATTATACGCATTCTTCTTTCGCTTACTCATTGCTTCTGCACGGTCAGCTGTGGTTGGATCGCTCGGCGGTACACATTGCTGTAGGTCAGCGTCGGTGAGTTTTCCGTTGCACAGGCGGCGTCTTCGGTTTGCTACGATCTAGTTGCTGGGCGTTGCGTTGGATTGCTTCTTCCTTCACGCGTCAGCTTCTTGTCACAGTTCTTCTTCCGGGTCTCTCAGGCACTGACCCTCTTTTGGCTCGCACTTGGTGCTGATTTACTCAATTTGTCAATCGATTTTTGTTATCGATTGTGTCTCGAAATAGTTGGGCGTATCCCACTGTATTCTTATTTATTCCTTTAGCTGAACCAATCCCACCGCTGCCACCAATTTTGTTGTGCCTCTCCGGATACAACGGGAATTTGGAGATGATCCAAGGGTTCGGCTCGTCTTAGGAGTTGGGACTCCGAGTGTCGAAAAACACGATACAAAGATTCTGTGCAAAATGATTTATTTGTACAGCTTACGTATCGTAGAGTTCGGTTTGGTGATGCTTTGGCGATGTAACAATATCGGCGCTTGCAGAATCTCATAGTTTCTTCAAGTATATGCGTCACCACTCAGTTTCGGGATACGGCCCCGAGGTACCCGTTATCTCTCTTTTTATTGTCTGAAAGTAGGTGATTTTTTGGTACTAAGTCGCGATGTCTTAATTCTCAGTTTCGGAATACGGCCCCGAGGTACTCGTTATCTCTCTTTTTATTGTCTGAAAGTAGGTGATTTTTTGGTACTAGGTCGCGATGTCTTAATTGCATATTGCAACGAATTGCATACATTGCATTTAATTGCGGTTTTGGGAGCGCGCACAACAGCTTACGAAGTGCTGACTTTGCGCTGTGCTCCTTTTTACTTTTGTAGATCGTAATTACGTTATTTGATTTCGAGTTACAAAGGATTTCTCGGTTCGGCTGGCGGAGCAGCTGGAATCGCAAAGGCGGTGGACGATAGCAAGGCGGCGCAACGTCAGCTCGAAGAAATGCAACGTCATAATCGCGCCATGGAAGGTCACGGACTTTATTTCGCTCCATACAAGCGTGGACGAGGGTTCTCAACAGCGGCTAAAAAAAACGTCAAAATAATGATAAAAACCTGACGGTGTAACGATCAATGTACAATTGGAACAACTTGCGAGACGTATGCGTATACCATTTTTTAGAGGCGTTTTCATGCGCAATAATTTACCGATAAACGGTGTACGGCGAAATGAGAACGGTATCGTCAATTTGGATGACGTCGATGGTTCCGGTACTCATTGGATAGCGTATGCAAAGAGGGGAGATCGTGTAGTATATTTCGATAGTTTTGGAAATCTTTGACCGCCCAAGGAATTAGTGCGATATTTTGGACAGAATGTGGCAAATATAGAATACAATCACACATCTTACCAAAATTATAATTAAAGTATTTGTGGACAATTGTGTCTACGATTTCTTCAAACGATCGATGATCGATATGAATTTAAAGCCTGACAATTCACCGTCGCGACTCAGTATTCGTTCGACAGTTTTTCAGCATGTCACTCACACTTACGTTGACTGGCAAGAGTAGCGTTCTTGCTGTAAGCTACTTGCCGGTTATAGATTTAAACGATGACGATTACGAGCTTGGTTTAACGGACTCTGAAACTTATCATATGATAGATCGTGTAGTATATTTCGATAGTTTTGGAAATCTTTGACCGCCCAAGGAATTAGTGCGATATTTTGGACAGAATGTTGCAAATATAGAATACAATCACACGGCCTATCAAAATTATAATCAAAGTATTTGTGGACAATTGTGTCTTCGATTTCTTCAAACGGTCGATGATCGATATGAATTTAAAGCCTGACAATTGTCCGTCGCGACTCAGTATTCGTTCGACAGTTTTCCAGCATGTCACTCACACTTACGTTGATTGGCAAGAGTAGTGTTCTTGCGGTAAGCTACTTTCTGGCTATAGATTTAAACGATGACGATTACGAGCTTGGTTTAACGGACTCTGAAACTTATCATATGATATCGAACGTGAATTCTTGGAATAATAAATTTTACTTTGATAACGATGACAAAGAAATTACGATTCCCGAAGGATCGTACGAATTATACGCTATAAACGAGTATCTCCGACGTGCAATTTTACGACATTGACGCGTAATTGATTCCAACGATATTGTTGATGGCAATGATGTCGCGTGAGAAGAGAATAAAGATGATATCGAAGAAAACGGTGAATATCCAGTAATGCTTTGCGCTAATCATAATACGCTAAAGAGTGAAATCAAATGTGCCTATAGAATAAATTTTAATGAACTAGACAACGTAGAATCGTTGTTGGGATTCTCATCGAATCGTATATTACAACCTCGGAAATGGCACGAATCGGATGTACCGATAAATATTATTAACGTAAATATCATTCGTAAAAAATGTAACTTGACCACTGGCAGAAATGACAAGCGCGTACATAGAATACATGAATTTTCACCGAGCGTGCCGCCAGGATATAAGATATCGGAAACGCCAGCACAGATCATATTATCAGCATGATCGCGCCAACGTTTGTGGATCTGCAGGGATTCATTATCGGGCGAAACTTTATCGTGAAAGAAGTAGCGATACTGAGAAATGGATTTGTTCTCTCTCATTACTTTTTTGCAAGTCTCGTACCGTGGCGTGTGCTTACAAAATCTGAGAGATGCCAAGCTTCATGGCTAATCGGACATCACCATGGACTTCAATGGGAGGATGGAAATGTTCCATACAGTTTGGCTAGGCGTCTGATTACGCCCCTCCGATGGCACACCACCTTGACGTATTGGAGGGGCTCCCCTTCGCTTGTTTAGAAGGGGTCTAAGAGTGTGCCAGCCGACTCGGCCAACGTACGAGTGCGATTTGTTTTTATTTATTTTAGGTGAATGCTGTGGATTGAATTGGGGATATGTGGGTGGTTATGTAAGGGGTTTTGGGATTTTTGTGGGGGGTTTTCTGGGGATGTGGGGGGTGTATGGGTGTGGGGTTTGGGTTTGGGTGGGGAGGGTTTGGGGTTTTTGTGGGTAGGGGAGGAGGGTGTATGTATGTCCCTTACGGGACGGTTGGCCGAGCCAAGTGGAGAGGAAGTTAATCTCGCAAAAAAATCCGGGGCAGGCCAGGCTCGTCAGGCGTAGTGACGCCAACTGGCCTAGGTGAAGGAAAACACCGAAATTAAACCACCCTTTCTTGATACACTATGATGAGTGACAACAAAGGAGTAAAACTTACCGGCTCAGTGGGACTCGGAACCCACAGGGCCCGGCGCGGGGGGGATGTAGACGAGCATCGCGGGCGAAAGAGCGATCGCCGAGATTAAGGAAGTACGGGTGACCGTGGTCAGGGCCGAAGTGCCTGGACCGGCTTCGTCTAAGCCGAAGTCAAGGGCTAGGTCGAGCTCTGCCGCTAGGCCACACCCGTATTCACGGGACGAGGGCAAGTCCCGGACTGTAAGCCTTACACGCCCGGGAAGCCCGGACGCCAAGAATGCGTCCAGAGGAGGTAGCGTAGGCCGGACCCGCGTCATCGATGGGGACTCCGTATGCCAGCGCTAGCGGAAGTGAGGGCTCGCAGGAGTCTCTCGCCGAGATGGGCCGCGACGGGCTCCCTGTTAGGAGGGGGAGGGATAGACCCCCCACCGCCGGGGAGCACGTGGGGCTCCGAGAGAGGCGCGAGCGAGAGGCCGCTCTCCGGAAAGAGAGGGATAGGGAGGATAGGGCCAAAAAGGCCCTATCGGAGGCTACCCCTCCTCCCCTTCCGAGTAAGCAGTTGCGGGTGTTCGAGGCCCAGTGCGCGGAGGAGCTGGGCTTCGCACCCACAACGGATGTTACTGCAAGGGGCCTTGAAGAAGCCGCGGCGATAGGATCGCCGCTTGTTCAGGCAACCTCAAGGGCTCCTTGCAGAAAAAGCTGAGGGAGACTGTTGCCGTCGTAAGGGTGGCGGCGGCCACCCTCAGCGAGAGGGCTCAGAAGATGGAGGAGCCCGGGGCGCTAGCCCTCCTACGGCGCGACTTGAAGTCACTGGCCGACAAAAATGAGGGCCTCCAGAAGGAGATCTTCACTCTGAGGGAGGAGCTTGAAGCGGCACGCCGCGCCAAGCCCTCCCTCGGGCTGCCTCTCGCCGGCTCGCCCGAGGAAGCCCCCCGCAAAAGAACGCGGGGCGCCCATCGGGTGAAGTCGGTGGAGATCGTGGACCTCACCGTAAGGGTGGAGCGTCCAGCGGGGAAGAAGCGACTTGGGTCCTCGACCGCAAATGGGGGGTCTACGGGACCTAAGTCCTTAACGTCTCAACGTAGTAGGGGGGTTACGGGACCCGTGTCCCCAACGTGCAACGGGGGGTTCCGCGAAGGGGCATGGGACTTACGTCCCCAACGTTGAGCGGAGCTCGGGCCAGTTAAACTGACTGAGATCACGGATAGTTGGTCGTCCGCAAACGCGGGGCGAGCGACGAGGGGGCTTCTGCAGAAGCCCCCTTAGAGAAAAGGCCCCTCAGGGCCAAGCCGAAGGCCACCACGCTTCCGACATCATTGGCGGAGGTCATAATGGCCGAACCTGAAGGCCACGTTAAATAGTGGCCCTCAGATTGTTACAGGCGAACCTCAACCACGCCCGCCGGGCGCAGGACCTCTTCCTGCACACTCTGGCGGAGTGTGGTTGCGGTTTAGGGATCGCGGCGGAGCCCTATCAAGTCCCCAAAGCCAATCCATGTTGGATTAGCGACGGGAGGGGCTCCGTCGCGATCGTTTGGCGGAACGACCCCCTACTCCCCCGCTGTACGCCCATAGAGGCGGGACGAGGAATAGTGGCGGTTTGTTGGGGACCCATCTCCGTTGTGGGATGTTACATCTCCCCGAACGTGGACCTCGCCTACTATGAGGCGTTTCTGGACGGGGTGGCGGCCTCAGTATATTGCCGCCAACTCTCCCGTCTGGTGATTGTGGCCGGGGACTTCAATGCGAAATCAACGCGTTGGGGTTCCCGGTCTACGGACGCAAGAGGCGAGGTCCTACAGGACTGGGCGGCGGTACTTGGCCTGTGTTTGTTAAACACTGGGTCGAGGAGCACCCTCGTGCGGTGGCAGGGAGAGTCGGTCCCGGATCCTATCCTGGGCCACCCCTGCCGCCGCGCGATTAGTTGGGAGTTGGCGGGTGGCGACGGAGTGTGAGACACTATCGGACCACCTCTACATAGAGGAGCAGGTGGTCCTTACCGCCACACGCCACGGGGTGCTTAGCCGCTCTCAGGGCCGGGAAGATGCCCGGCCACGGAGATGGACCCTAAGGAAGCTGAACTCGGACAGGCTAATCGCGGCTGTCCTCGCGGCCGACTGGCCGTGCCTAGGGGGTGAAGGGCGGGGGATAGAAGAAGTAGATTGGTTCCGGGACGCACTACGCGATGCGTGTGATTTCGCGATGCCCCGGACCAACCCCCGCCCACGGAAGGCGGCGTACTGTTGGTGCGAGGAGATGGCCGAGTTACGGCGCTCCTCGATAGCCGCCAGACGCCGATTCACCCGGGCTCGGCATCGTAATGACGCCGAGAGGACGGCCATGGCATATAAGGGCTTCCGAGTGGCATGGAATGCCACTCAGTGTCGCGATTAGAATACTGAGAATGCCCTCAGTGTCGCGATTAAACGGGCCCAGGCCAGGGAGTGGGATGAGTTACTCCACTCCCTAAACTTAGACCCATGGGGGCGCCCCTATAAGCTTGTGCTTAACAAGCGGAGATCATGGGCGCCCCCGGTGACGGAGTCCCTCGAACCCCAAGTTCTCGATGAAGTCCTAGGAGCCCTCTTCCCTTTAGAGGGTCCCCCGTTTTCGAGCGACGGCCAGAAGACTGCCGCTCCATGGATCAAGGACTTGGAGGTGACGAGGGACGAGATGGCCGGGGTGATACGTCGTTTGAGGTTGCGGGGCAATAAGGCCCCGGGCCCCGACGGTATCCCCGGCCGGGTCCGGGCCTTGGACCACCTGTCCGAGCGTCTGAGGCAGCTCTTTACGAGCTGCCTCAGGCAAGGGTATTTCCCCCCGGCTTGGGTGAGGGCCAGATTGGTTCTTATCTTAAAGGGGGGCGGGCCTGGGAACTCCCCACGGTATCCCCGGCCGGGTCCGGGCCTTGGACCACCTGTCCGAGCGTCTGAGGCAGCTCTTTACGAGCTGCCTCAGGCAAGGGTATTTCCCTCCGGCTTGGGTGAGGGCCAGATTGGTTTTTATCTTAAAGGGGGGCGGGCCTGGGAACTCCCTTTCTGCCTATTGGCCAATCTGTTTGCTGGACGAGGCTGGCAAGCTGTTGGAGCGCTTGCTGGTAGACCGCCTCGTCCGGCATCTGTCCCAGAATGGTATGGATCTCAACCAGAATCAGTATGGATTCCGCGAGGGAAAATCAACGATCGACGCGATCTTTCGCGTCCATCATGGAGGAGGGCAGGGTGGTCGTTGCGGTGTCACTTGACATTCGCAACGCGTTTAACACCCTGCCCTGGAACAGGGGAAGGAGGGCCGCTGTCAACTTTGGCCTTCCCCCCTACCTGGTGGGAATCCTGGAAGCATATTTCTAGGACAGACGGCTGGAGTACACGGATAACCGTGTACTCCTGTGCAGAAGGGGGATGTACTGTGGGGTTTCGCAGGGGTCAGTGTTGGGCCCCACCTTGTGGAACCTCGCGTACAATAGGGTCCTGGGCACCGCCCCCCCCCCGGCTGCAGCGTCGTCGGATATGCCGACGACATTGTGCTGGCCGGGGGAGATAGCTGGGGGGGAAGCTGCGAGAGCAGCCAACGTAGGGGTAGCGTGCGTCTTTCGCGCGATCCACGGCATGGGCCTGGAAGTAGCGCCTCAAAAATTCGAGGCGCTCTTCCTATACCGGGGGGAGCATGGTGCTCCCCCGAAAACGACCCATGTCGTGGTGGATGGCACCTCCGTTCGGGTGGGGACCCAGTTGAAGTATTTGGGTCTCTACCTGGACGATACCTGGAGCTTCGACGGGCGCTTTGCGCGTCTGGCCCCCAGGGCGAAGGCGATGGCTCACGCATTGAGCCGCCTCCTTCCCAGTTTGGGTGGACCGGACGGCAGAGTGCGCCGTCTATATGCGACAACCGTCCGAGCGGTGGCCCTTTATGGGTCACCAATTTGGGCGGATGCCCTGATGGCGAGTAGGCGCGGCAAGATGATGCTGCGCCGAATATTTCGGAGGATCGCCATCAGGGTCATCCGCGGTTACCGGACGGTGTCGCATGCGGCGGCCTCTGTCCTGGCGGGACTGCCGCCCATTGAGCTGTACGCCCAAATGTACGCGGAGGTGTACGGGCGTACAAAAGAGCTCGGTGGGCTAGGCGTGGTGTTGATCCCGCGGGTCAGAGCTGCCGTGAGGCTCCAGGCTTGGCGACGTATGCTGGAGTAGATCGAAGATCTCTCCAATCCCCGAAACAACTCGGAGAAGCGCCATCGAGGCCATCCGCCCCGTTTAATCAAATTGGTGGAGAGGGCGGATGGCGAGGTGTCATACCGTGTGGCACAGGTGCTTACAGGTCATGGGTGTTTCGGCTCGTATCTGTGCCGCATCGGGCGCGAAATGGACGCACGCTGCCATCATTGTGGCGGGGTCGAGGACACGGCGCAGCACACGCTGGAGGACTGTTCAGCGTGGGCGAATGAGCGCTGTGCCCTCGTCCAACAGTTCGGAAGTGACGACCTCTCGCTCTCGAGCGTCATTGCGACGATGCTCGAGAGCGGGAAAGCCTGGAAGGCGGTCTCCTTCTGCGAAGCAGTTATGCTGCAGAAGGAGGAGGCCGAAAGAGAGAGGGAGAGATTCCCCGGCGGACGCCGGGGAGCTCTCCAACGTGGTGGTGCGGCCGGAGACGGGAGGGGGACGCGGGGAGAGCCTTTTGCTGGCAGGACCCGCCAACCTTCCACGGCTTCCGGCCGCAGAGGTGCGGTGCGACGCCGCGCCAGGAGGCCCCAACGGGGGGTGGGGGGTCGACGGGCGCGGGGACTGTTGTTCCCCGCAGCCCACGAGACCCTCCTCATCTACGGGGTGACGCGGATGGTGGGGGGAGCGGACCAGGGGCCTATTGGCTCCGGTCCATATTGGCTCCCTCCGCCGACGCGCAGGGCCCGCGTGACAGCCGGGCCCGGTGGCCGGGGACCCAGGTAGGGTACCAGGGCCCGGTCACGTCAGCTCCGCCATGCCAACGGCGGGAAGTGGGTGAGAGGGGAGGTGGTCCCACTCTCCCCAATACGAGCGGGAGTCCCCAGAACAACGGGGACTCTGGGGGAGAGTGTAACTCTCCCCCCAGCGAAACAGACTCGCAGGCGGAAGGCCTCTCCGAAGTAGTGCAAATGCCAGATTCCGGAGAGGCCTTCTCTAACGCCTGGGTGTAGGCCACCCGGAGGGGTTTTAGTGGGTAGTCCCCCGGCCGTTTGTTTAGGCCGGTGGTGAGCCTCACATAACCTTGCCTCGAACCCCATCGAGGCGGGGTATGCGTAAAACCATTTCCCCTCCGTTACCAAAAAAAAAACAGGCGTCTGATTACGAGGGCTGTGATTGGTGCGACGGAAGAGGAAGATGGAGCATCTCCTAGCTAGATGTTACTAATACAATGCGCTGTGAAAAACATTTAAAAAATTGCGCTTTACAAAATGTATTTAAAATTTTCAGTTGGTAGACGAATCATCATAAAGATTCACCCATACATTATTTAGAATAAACTATTGTTAAAATATATTTTTATTCTCTTTTATTCTTCCCTTTTCCTCTTTCTTATCCCAGTATGCGAGAATTAAATTTCAGTACGTGACGTTAGATAGCAGCGTCAGCCATTTAATTAAAATATAAATGTTACATGTCTTAAAATATTCAATTGGTGGACGAATCATCATAAAGATTCACCCAAACATTATTTAGAATAAACTATTGTTAAAATATATTTTTATTCTCTTTTATTCTTCACTTTTCCTTGTTCTTATCCCAGTATGCGAGTATTAAATTTCAGTACGTGACGTTAGATAGCAGCGTCAGCCATTTAATTAAAATATAAATATTACATGTCTATAGACATACAATTTTTTAAATATTTATTTTATTGGTATATAAGTAATTAATTTGTCGTTTCATGTAGTTGATATTTGTTCGATAGTTGTTCAATAGCTGTTCTATAGCTGTACAACAGCTGTTCGATAGCTATGCAAAGTGGTTTGATGGCTGTTCGATAGTTGTTCAATAGTGGTTCGATAGCCGTTCAGTAGCCATTCGATAGATGTTCAAAGGCTGTTCAAAGCTGTTCGATAGTTGTTCAAAGCTGTTCAATAGCCGTTCGATAGCTGTTCAAAGTCGTGCATGCCTCGTGCATGCGAACGCTATCCTTCTTCCACGCCCATAGAATATCATTACCGCTATCCTTCTCCCACATGCATGCGATCGCCTCGCGCTATCTTTCTCCCACGTCCATATCAATACCATTAGTGCTATCCTCCCACACATTGCGGACGCCTCGCGCTACCTCTCTCGCACCTACTCGCGGACGCGTGCATTACCTCTTCCCCGCGGACCCCTCGCCTACCAGTTTCGCCGCGGTACCCCTCTCTCCTCCGCGGACCCCTCGCCTATCGGTTTCACCGCGGTCCCCCTCCCCCTCCGCGGACTCTCGCCTACCGGTTTCGCTGCGGTCACTCTGCCCCTCCGCAGACCTCTCGCCTACCGGTTGTGTCGCGGTTCCCCCGCGTGACGTCATACCCCCCGCGCCGGTTTCCCCTCGCCCCTCAACCCTCCTCAGAGGACCTGCGTTAGAACTCTCCTTACTACACTACTAACATAATATCACACTCGCATTCAGTTCAAATTGCTGCATAAACACATGCAAGGACAAATAATGAAAACACAAAATAAAAGAACCGAAGAGTGATAAGGAAATAGAGAAAAAAGAGAAAAAGTGAAATTATTCAATAAAATAGGTATGACATGTATATTCCATGTTTAATATTGAGATTATTCGGTTTCACCGCGGTCCCCCTCCCCCTCCGCGGACTCTCGCCTACCGGTTTCGCTGCGGTCACTCTGCCCCTCCGCAGACCTCTCGCCTACCGGTTGTGTCGCGGTTCCCCCGCGTGACGTCATACCCCCCGCGCCGGTTTCCCCTCGCCCCTCAACCCTCCTCAGAGGACCTGCGTTAGAACTCTCCTTACTACACTACTAACATAATATCACACTCGCATTCAGTTCAAATTGCTGCATAAACACATGCAAGGACAAATAATGAAAACACAAAATAAAAGAACAGAAGAGTGATAAGAAAATAGAGAAAGAAAGAGGAAAAAATTGAAATTATTCAATAAAATAGGTATGACATGTATATTCCATGTTTAATATTGAGATTATTATCTTTCTCTCCAGTATACAGTATATATATACATATAATAAATAATTTTCAGTTAAGTAATACAATATTATACTCGCATTCAATTTAAATTAACACATAGACACATATAAAGATGAATATTAAAAATACAAAATAGAAGGGTCGAAGAGTGATAAGGAAATAGAGAAAGAAAGAGGAAAAAATTGAAATTATTCAATAAAATAGGTATGACATACAGGGTGATCCGGAACAACCGTTTGCCCTTAAAAGGTCGTATTCCTGAATCAATTCTAAGACGATTTTTTCTTTACGAAAATTTTGTCTGAAGCTATTTTAAATTATAAGAAGAAATAGTTAGCGAATTACGGGATGAGTACAGAAGATAGGCAGGGGCGGCGCAACTCACCGTCCGATACAGGCGCTTACGTGAAGCGTTCGCTACAACTGATCGAGCGCTGTTTGCTATACCCGATACGCGATGGGTGTGTGTGTGTGTGTATTACGCGTACACGTTCTCACACGCACACACACACACACCCATCGCGTGCAGCAAACAGCGCTCGATCAGCTGTAGCTAGCGCCTCACGTAAGCGCCTGTATCGGACTGTGAGTTTCGCCGCTCCTGCCTATCTTCTGTACACTGAAAAAATTCTATTTTCATCTTACGAATATTTCATTTATCTTTATATTATCTTACTCTAAAATAAGCGCCAAAAGGATCCTTTTAACTTAAGAAGAAAATCTTCTAAAGAATATCAAGCGACGCGGTAGCGTCGCGACGCCAAGTATATATAAAAATTCGTTCCAGCTTGTCAACGGTTTGCCTATGTACAGGGGCCGCGACGCTACCAAGTAGCTTATCCGGAGTTTTACGTCTAATAAACTTTCGATTAAAATTCCTCAGGAACCAAGCCGTTAATCAAAAATCTAACGGCACTTTTCT